CTGAAATTAAAAATTCTGATCCAGCCTTCCTCTATTTTCTAACTATTTTCTCTTAACTATGTTCTGCTTTGACAGAACTTTGGTTTCTGCACAGCAGTGATGGCAAAAGGTCCCTCACAAGACCTTCAGGTGGACTGCCAGATGTATGGACATCAGGTACCAGCTCCAGATATTCCCTTGCTTTCCTGGGTATTCTAGCCTACTGGTACTGTTACAAGGCATCATCTTGAGTTTACTTCTCTCATTGTAAACTGCATTGGCCACCTGTGATAACTTAACTTTCTATCCTAAAAGCCAAGGCAAGGTAGCTGCTGATTATCCCATGGATTTCTGTGCTGGGAATTAAGTCATGTCTGCCATCCATGCTTGACACAATTTGCCCTCTTGACCATCTGAGAGATTCACATGTCTGTCAGGGCAAAGGGAACCAAACTCTGCTCAGCTAAAGGGAAGGGGCAGATAAATGTAAAACAAAAATCAGCATTGCGAGGCTGGAGGCTTTTAGTGCTTAGACATGACTGAATTCAGGGACCTTGTCCTGCACTGCTGTAGCAAGGGGAGGGAAATGTGCACCTGACCTGAGTACTCTCAGGTATTTTAGCCTACATTTGGTCTCAGGAGGACTAGGTGGTGGTTGAACACTTCCTATGGACAACAGCTCTTGGTAGCTCAACAGTAATTAGCTAAGAGGTATAGGAAAAAGAGAATGAGACAGCTGGTCTTGAATGTTTCATCAGCTGTGCAGGTGGCTCTGAAATATCATATAGCACAGAATTTGGTCCTAATGATTCATTGGCTATAAAAAATGTGTTCCTGGGTTCTTGTGCATGGGTTCCAATGCAAATCAGACTTCTGTGATAGTCAGGAACATTTGAACCTGGGTTGCAGGCCTATAGCTATTTAGGAGCAGGGTACCTAGTAAGGTATCAATTACCTGTATGTGAAAAGCCCCGGGTCCCTGAAAACCAACATGACCTGTTTTTATTTTCCAGCCTGGAGTTACCTACGCTCATCCAGGTCAAGACACATCAGCAGGACTGGCACCCAGTGCTGTAGGCGTCACAAACCATAATCTTGGGCTTTTCCACAATAACCCCGTTGCATCTGAATCCAGCTCTTCAGAAATTTTGCGTTCTGCGCTCGCAGCAAAATCAGTAGCAAAGAGAGCAGTTGCAGAGGCTGCTCAGCATGACAAAGTGCCTCGCCCAGTTGGCTTTGTGCCTCTTCCTCCTCCCTGCCCTGGGAAGATTCGCCATTTTGATATCTAGGCTGTGTTTCAGATATGCAATGCAGCCAAACTGAGGGATCAGTGCAACAGCCACACACAGACCACAACATCGACTACAAATGGGTGAGAATGCTTGACTCTGAGCCTGAATGAGTTTTACTCTCTAGAGAGCAGAGCCATGGTCAGAGTCTTGCAAAGGCCTGCTCCAAATATAGATGATTACAATATATAGCCATAGTTTACTTTACATAGAGGGATTCTCTAGTTAAAATATAGAAAATATTGTTTCAGTGAAACTGTTGTAAGAGCTGTACAACAGTTGTAGCTTTGTGACACAAGCACCACCTGAAAGGTTAGTTCACAATAAAATGTTCAAAGCTTTGCTACCTTCTATCTGTATATATTTTCATTTAGTTGTCAAGTATCTCCTTCACAGCATTATGAGTCATATTCTGGGCTTGATTTCAAAAACACTAAGCTCCTGCACTTCTCATCAGCTTCACTGGGATGTGTGGGTGCTGAGCACTGCGGAAAATCAGGTCAGTCCTCCCTTTTGATCACACACCAGTAACATTAAAGAAGCGGCAGGAAAAAAAGTACTTTTCCCTTCCACCTATAATGTTTCCCACCATGTACCTACTTTTAATATCCACCAGAAGTACCTCAAAACTTTTGGACATGGCACAAGAGCATCCATGTCTATGAAAAGAGCAGAGAGTCAGGAGGACACTCTCATTGCTGGCAGGCTGAAACATCAATCCCTGCAGCCAAACACATGTGTATTGTCTGTCTTCCAGCAGACACACAGGTGCAGTATAATCATGGGGTCCTGCACGGTCTGTGTGCATATGAGGAAATGCCAATTCAAGGGAATAAAAAATATATGACTGGCATGTATCTCATGTAACAGAACCCTGACAGGGATGGCAATTTACCATTATTGTAGCAGTCAAATCTTCTCTGAATTTCTGGCACATGTCAGAGGCAGAATCTATTCTAAGTAGAGAATTAATAAGGGACTGGGGCAGAAGGATCTTTACTGCCAGCCAGACTGGAATTCTGCAGGCCCTGGGGAACAGTCTCAAAGACAGTCATGAATGTTTAACCAGGAACAGCACTTGCTACAAGATAATTATCACGCAGGCAGCAAAAAATTGCAGAACACATGTCATTCCTGAACTCTTTCAAATAACCTGTTCTGTTCTCCTAGTTACAATCATCCAGTACTTAGTAAGCAACACAACTAACACTTGCTCTTGGTGATAGTGCAACAGCTCACAATAAAGAAAAGTTCTGCTCTGCTGTGTCAATGGGGAAGGGACAAGTCATTGGCACTTGCACCAATGCTTCAGCTGGGTGTGTAAAGAAAAGGAAAATCAGCCCAGACTCTATAAACCACAGCCTAATGTTATGGCAGCACACTGAGGGCAAGCTCTGCCTGTGAAGATAGCTGCTCTCACATTTCAAGCAAATGCAGGAAGCGTGTTGTGGGCAACTGCACCAGCCACAGCCAGTCAGTGGCTCAGGGAGGTTTTGCTTCTCTGTAGAGCAGTGACTCCAGTATAACCTGCATGCAGCCATTCCGCCAAAAAGTGCTAATATTAAGCTGTAGAAATCTCTTAATGCAGTAAGATAGGAGGTCTTCCTATCTCACTGCATAAGACACAGCACAGGATTTAATGAAACTGCAACTATTCTGTTTTGCATCACTGTGACACCAGATACATGAAACTTTTCAAAATTAGGAATCACCATTACTAAACTATAGAAATTGTCTTCTATATAATGAAATAGAAACTAATTCATAGAAGAGAGAGTGTTTTCCAGGCTTAGAAAATCTTCTTACAGCAGAAACAATGTTTATAGAAGGGATAAGGTTCCCTGAAATCCAGAAATGCTGCATTTTCTTGTTGCCTTTTCAAACCACACAAAGAAAAGATATGTAGCAGAAACATCTGCAGTCTCCATACTTCATAGGTGTTCTATACCTGGTGAAACAATCCCTTGTTTTCTAAAACAGGAAGAAAAAAATTTTCTCAGTGCATTCCATTTTGGTAGCTGCACTTCATCTTCTTTCTCCTTAACACTTGTCCTCTTAAGGACACATCATGCCTCCTTACAGATCTGTTTTCCATGACTGCTTTAAAGCAACCACTTTGTCTCCCACCAGTATAGCCCCATTTTCATGCACCTGCGCCTTACTAACAGATTCACCACTTAACAATTGATTCTCTGGGAAATGAGACATATGAAATGGTGGTACATGAAATACAAATGTCTCCTCCTTTGAAATGTAGCATGAAGAGTTTTGCCAGGCCTGCATTGCTGGCTAACAATGTTTTTCAGCTTTTTCAGAAGCTGTTTCACAAAAGCGCATGTACTTCATGTGCTGCTTTGGCTGAACAGGCTTGGATTTCCCAGCTGTGTCCATGTTTTGAGGTCAGCTACTTCAACAGAGAAATTTTTCCTTTCCAGGCAGAGGAAGAGTACAAAGAACAGAGTCAGGGATATAAAAATCCCCTATTATAAGAAGCACCAATACAGCCAGTACTAACTGGCACCCATCTCCATAGAAATGCCATGCACTGTAAGGATAAAGAAAATGAGTTATTATCCTTTAGCCGCAGGGGAAGCATCCCCAGGCACAAGGAACAATGGGAGCGAGTCTGCATTGCTGCTGCTGCAGTTCCTGTACTATGGCTACAGCAGTGTTTCTCAGCATTCACCCCTTGTATCCCAACATTCACCCCTTGTATCCCATCCCTCTGGACACAGTCTGTGCATTATCCCTCACCTGACACGTGAGGGGCTCACTCCAGCAGCCATGTGTCCCTTCTGTCCTGCTATTGGGCTTTTCCACCAAACAAAGTCTTCTTAGAAGAGTTTCAGCTCCAGTTCTGTTGCAGGCCTTTTGGCTGTGTCTATTATCCCAGATTTTTATGGACATTCCCTGGGACATATTCTGCTGTCTCCCAGATGGTTTAAATACTTCTGGGCCAAGATTCTTTACACAGCCAGTAAAAAAAAGTGACAATGTAGAAATCTTTAACTACTCCAAATATCATAGTAGTATTGAAGAGACAATTATGTCCTTCACTTGCACTTTTTCTTCCTCATTCAATAGAACTTTCAAACTTAAAGGTACTTGGTGTCCTCCAGCAGAAAGGTGCAATCACAGAGTCCCATGACAAAAAATGAGAGCCAGGGACCTGGTGACCCAGCTTCTAATATCCTTCAAGGTGAAATGCTGCAGAATTGCCCCTTAGTAGAAAACCAGTGACACTGAACTGGGATCCTCCCCAAGTAATGGTCCCTACCCCTTCTCCAGATCTTCAAGATAGAAGCTACTTGTAAAGCTATTCCCCCTTGTCTCCATCATGGAGTTCCTGACAGGTTATTCACAAGGCACACTGCTGTCATTTCACACTGAAGTTTCTCCAGGAAGAATTTGCCATGACCTTTGAGGGGTGTCAATGCCTCCAAGGCTAAGGGGTAGCATTCAACTGTAGGTATCCAGATGAGTAGAAATGCTCACAGCATGAATCCAAACTGAGCTTTCTATCACAACCAAACTGACTGCATATAATAGAGTCAATGTAATGGTTTAAAATTGTCACTTAACAAATACAAAGCGCAAAATCAGTCAACCTTGTGGCATTTATCCATTTTCTATTCAAATTACTGAGACCTTTGTCTTCTTTTTTTTTGGCAGAAGAACTGGATCACTGACCGAACAGAATTGGAGCCAGGCCTGTTCTGCACATACAAATCTGGTTTCTTAAGGAAGCAGCTTTGTGTGTGTATTCTTATTCCTTGCCATGAGGTCAAAATTGCATGATCTGCCCAGTGAAGTCAAATTTAGAGATGGAAAGCCAGAAGGAAAAAGTGTTGTCTGGTCTCAGAGGGAGCAACAACACTTCTGTAAAACCTTGTAATCATTGACTTAGTGTTTACTGTTGCAGCTGTAGGTTTAAAGGTGATGGTCAGTATGCAATAAAAAGAAGGCACAAGTTTATAAAGAGACACAGCTCCACTATAAAGGTTTGTTATCTCACTCAGGTCTCAGCCCCTCTGTCCTGACTGACCACCCTCATCTGCAGCTCTGGCTCTCTAAGCAGAATGGTTTGGCTTGCTTGGATGCTCTTTGGCATACAGGTGCTTTGCTCCTGCACTGCTGCCCCCCCTGGCCAAGGAGCAGGGGCTGCCCTGCTCTGCCCCCGCTGCAATGACCCCGCAGTGGAGGAGGCTGCAGACGTGGCTCTCCGCCAGATCAATGCTGACCGAGAAGAGGGCTATGTACTCAGCCTCTACAGAATCGTCAGTGCCCTAGAACAGCCGCAGGTAAGTCACCCTCTTGCCCAATATATGTTCCTCCCTGTGTCTATTTCTCAGAAATATCTATTTGAATGAAGAAATATTTCCAAAGGCAAATGCAAAGCTCTATTCACAGGACTCCAGAGGCCATGTCAACTTTATGCACAGACTAGAAACAATTTCATCACACTGTGGGCAATTAGAGAGCAAATCTCAGTCATGACTCTCTGCTGCAGGCCCTTGGAATTGCTCCAGGCATCAGTTCAAATTTGATATGAAACACCACTACTCTGATTTAATTTCATTTTACACCTTCCTCCCACTGCCTTGAGCAGTTGGAGTGCAAAGGCTAGTAAGTCATAGTGTGTTTTGCACAAAAGATATGAGCACTAACAGGTGTAAACACATCCTGCTTGGGACCAAGGAATTCCTTCACAGACCTCTAAAAGATGACTCATTCTCCAGAAGAAACCTGAAACCAGTTCAAGGGCAAAAAATGCACTAGAAATACCTACAGAATATCACTCCCATTTCCTCAAGTATCGTATTTCTCTGTGTGTGCTTAATTTATGACAATTTTTTGCTACAAGAACTGAATCTATTGGCACTAACTAGGGACAGCCTGAAATGAATTCACAAGGGCCTGCAGCAGATTAGGCACTATGGAAACCTGCTGCTGGCATTCCCTGCAATGACTGGTCACTTCCCATAAGCTTACCTGAAAGGCTCAGTTCTGAACTCTAAAGAAAATTAGGCTCATTGCCAGGTGCTTAGACCTGTGCTAGCAAGGATATGACATTTCTTCCTGCTGCTCTTACAAGGACATGGCTCCTGCAGACACACTGTGGACTCCAGCAACCCGAGATCTCACAGCTAAAGATGCTCTGCTGTGTTTTGCACTATGGTCTCTATACTGCCTTACTCAGGTGACAGAATGTGCCCACTGAGCAACTGGATCAGGTCTCTTCAGAATTTTTCGGCATGATGCAGGTGAGCTGGCCCAGAATCCACATCACCAAGAAGGGAGCTAGGTGCTCAGACCCCTTCCTGGGGCTATTTCCTATTGATAATAATTAGAGCCCCCTATGACCACTCTAGAGTGCAGCATGGTGGGGGCAGACACGCTGCAAACCACCCCAATCCTCTCCCTACTTCACCCTTCACCTGAGCCAAAGATATCTCAACACTGGAGATTTTTGATCCTTGGTTGTAATTTGTCTGTCACTCAATTTCCTAAAGACAACTTACTGCTTTAGAGCAAGCATACTTTGTTCATCTGGGGGTTTAATTTACTTATTTACTTTTATTATTTTCTTTATTTTTTTTCATCTATTATTGTATCCAGTAAATAAGGTGTTTCAAGACATTGCAATAACAAACTAGACATTCTAAGCCTTTTGTCCCATGGCTGCTGCTGCTGGGACTGAGTACATAAGGAGCAGTCAGAAACGTCAAGGGGTTCATGGACAGTAACAGCCTTATGCCACCTCCCATTCCTCTCAAAAAAATGAAGAAGTTTTTTTTACCCTGTGAACAAGTCAGTGGTCCTTCTTCTCACTTTCTTAAGCAGTACTGAGGATAAAAATATTTTCAAAGTTACTTCAAATTCAAATCTGCCCTTAAGCAACCTGTGGTTCAGCTTTACTCTAATTGAAACTAATGAGCCATCTGCTATTAACTTATATGCAAGTAGGACAGAGCTTGCTTTCATACAAGATACTCATGATTAGCTTCACTGACAGGCACTTAACCAAAATTACAAAAAACATGCCAAAATATTTTATTTCTTTCCCTTGCACCAGGTCACGCTGCTGCCACATCTCCTCTGGCACCCAGTGCCCAGCATACATTGCAGCCTGGCACCTGCAGTGCTGAGGAAGAGATCTCTTTGGCAATGGAAAGATATACAACTTTTTATTCAATACTAAGCAGATATCAGAAGGCCTTTGCATAACAGTCTTGTAATGAAAATTAAAATAAGGATTATTAAATCTTCAGTGATCTGCTGAGTTCTGAATAAGCTCCAAATTATCCTTTCCCTTGGGGAGAATGATACATACAGAAGCAGGTAGACCAAAAGATGTGTAGATTTTGTAATAAACTTATCTGCTTATTAGAGCTGGTATTATACAAGAGACCTATAGGCAACAAGAAATACAATATGGTCTGCCCTGGATGCATTTAGTGTTTTTAAGATCACGCCTCTTTATAATCAATATTCATGACTCAGCTGAGGAAACCCATCTAACACCAACACATTTGATTATAAGAACATTTCTTTAATGAGGTATTTGTGTGCTTTTGCCTCTGGAATACCTCAACAACCAGTTTGAAAGCTCAAGTCAATAATTCCAAATATAAGACTCCTTAAAGATGCACATTTTTCTTGGCTATTTCTTCTTCATGTGGATAGTCTTAGTGATGGCTTTTTTCCTATAGAATTCATATTTAAAGTTACAAACTTGTACCAAATGCTGCACTACTCCAAAACACATTTCAGCAAATAGCAATTACTTTTTGACTGATCTTACTTTGTGTTCACTGATTTAAGCTGTATTAGCTATCATATTAAAGAGAATTATCATCATGGTGTTTAGATATCTTGTATGTAATAATGGATCATAATCAAGAAAAGTATGATTAGTCCCTTCCACAGAAGGATCTCTGCAGCCAGGTGTGGGGATATTGCTGTGCCACTGCACAACGAGCACTGCTGCACCTCAGTGTCACTCGTTGTCAAAATAACTTTTGATCTTTCCACAGCCTTCAAATTAAACCTCAGGATTAGTGTAAGCAAGCCCTGAGATCTCAGTGTAAGGCATTACCAGATCACTTTATAGAACACTTAGGAAAAAAAAGATAATATGAAAATACAAAAAATAGTAGAAAGTGTGAGAAGTTGCATATGTAAGAAAAGAACTAAGAGACAATGGTAACAAAACAATTTAATAATTCTTTATATTTATTTTAGTTTTGCCCTTTCATATTTAAAGGTTTAATATTACTAGTATACATGGTAGAGCTCAAATAAAATCCCCATCCCTCAGATCTCTATAGGTGTGATCAGAATAGTTTGTATCTCTCAATCTGCTCAGAACTCCAGAGCAGACATCGCTTAGTGGTTTTCTAAGCAGTATGAAGACCAAAAACCCAAACAGTACTCCAGCTTCATAGGCCCTATGGACTGACATTTAGTCACTGTTAAACAGAGGCCAAAACTAAAGCCAAAATGATACAGATATCGGCCCCAGACTTCCACAAGACTGTTGCCCCATTTAGAGTTTTCTCCACAAACGAATGAAATCAAGCAGGGATGAATGAACACTGCTGTCATTCAGTTTTGGTTTTTCTCCCCCTGCAGCAAAGACATAATCTCAGTCTAAACACGCAGCTAACTCTCACATCTAAGTTCTTAGGTTGTATAAATGACAGCTGCCCTCTTTCCAGCTTTCCACTAAGGATATAAATAAAACATGATCCAACTAAGCTGTATCCTTGATAAATATGCTGGAAAGGTGCTTACCCGAGTCTACAGTGGAAGCAGAATGAGGAGCTGCACCATGCAGCATCTCATCTTCCTGCACTACACGATGTAAGCACCAGATATGCAGAGCTGTATTTTTAGTCCCTCCTTGTACTTCTTGCCTGGAAAGATGAGCCTGAATTTCTTTGTGCTGCAGTGAACTGAATAAAGGTTTCTGGACTGAAGTACAGTCCAGAGCTGGACTGAAGCTTTAAGTGAGTCTGAGACATCCATGTGACTCTGCAAGGTCTCTCACAGGACACCCTGACAACTGAGACAATGTTTAAGCTTCTCTATCAATGCAGCCTTTGCCTCTTTACAGCAAGTGCAAAGCATACACACTTGAATAAGACACTGCCCTAAGAAATAAGATATTTCTCTTTCTAATGCCTGCTGGGAATGTTCCATGTTAGCAGTTTTCTATTAGTTGTGGTATTTACAATCTCATTCTTATTTCAGGCAAAATAACCTACCTTTCAGATCTGATAATAAAATGCAGTTGAAAGTGAAAACATCAACATGTTTTGTCTTTATTCTTGGGTTCTGGTTGGTACCAGAATCAGAAGAATTAAACTGACCAAAGGACTGTTCTTTATATAAAGCTGGCTAGCTGCATGACCAAGCCTGTTCTAACAGGACCTGAATTTCACCTGATTTGCCACTTTTGTCACAGAGAGTGTTCAGTTTTCAGGATATCTGCATTCCACCTGTGTGTTTTCCATTTCTTCATCTCTCCTTTTTATGAGTCCCTACTTTGTTTGATACAAAACTGGGATGTGACCATTTTGTTTCTTGTTTCCAGGAGATCACTGGTTCTGTGTTCTATCTCATCTTGGATGTAGTAGATACTGAGTGCCATGTACTCAGCAAAAAGTTATGGAAGAACTGTAACACCAGACCTGCTCATTCAACTGTAAGGATCTTATTTTTCTATTTAATCTCACATATGATGAGTTACTCAGTTACTACTGATGACTGCAAAACCCCTACACTTGCATTTTTAGCAGGCAACAAAGCTCAGAAAAAAAGCAAAGGCCATTTTATAACTTCCACAATTTTACTATATACCTTCTAATCAGTTTATATACTGGTAAGATTTATTTTAAAACGTGGAAATTAAAAGAAAATTTTTGACCAGAGCTAATAAAGAGACCAAACTAAATAGCCATGCTAGGACACTATTTAGAATAATGGTTTACTTTTTACAGCAACCCTATAAGAGTTTATTTTAAAGACAGTCTGTCAAGGAGGGAATAAAAGAAACACACTTTTATATAACATGTGATTTTTGGTTTAGTTTAATTCCACTTTTATTCTGACAACTTTGCAAAAATTGCACTGAAATAGGAGAAAAAAGAAAGCTCACCAAGATAAGCTGCAAAGATAGAAAGTGGTCCAAGATTGTTGCTACAGGTGACCAAAACTGCTCTGAAAAACTGAAAAAAAAATGCTTAGAAAATGAAGAATGACAAGAAACAAGGCTCATATATACATATATATATATATATATATATATATATATAAAGTTATGAGTAAATTTTCCTGGACTGCTTCTAAGGCCAATCAATTTTAACTCTTTAATGAAAAACTAGAAAAAAAAAAATTATACTCCCTTCTCATTAGAGTGTTTTCAGCAGAAAAAGGGCACAAAGCCTATCTGGTTTATATGGCTTCAGTGAAGCCAAGAAATGCATGTCCAGAGGCCTTGAGCACACATGTAGGACTATCTAAGAAGCTCTCAGAGAATATACTTTCCACGCTTAAATATAAAAGCACAATGGATATTACCAGGCTAATATTTTTTTTTTTGCCATAATGTAAGAGTTTTTTGTGTGCAAGAATGACCCTACTATGCCATAAAACTGATTTATGGTCCTTCCTACCACTCTCCCTATGATTATAGGGAAAAGGGGGAACGTGGAAGACAGGTAACTGAATCCAGACACTCTGAATTATCTCTGGGTTTAAACTCTCTGAGTTCCAGACATAGACCCAGCCCAGGACAGAGACCCAGGAGCACTCTGTGACACTTGGGCACTTCTCAGCTGCCAGAAGAGTGGCCCTGGGCAGGCTACCCAGCAGTCAAGCACTGCATCTCTATAGCTCAGAATCACACCAGGGGATGAGCTGGCCTTTTATTTTTAAACGAGATGCCTAGAAATGTGCTTCATTGTCATTTGAGTATTAACAAAACTTTTGTATTGAAAAGAATTCCATAATTGCAAGAGGAAAATGTACCACTCCTGTCTAGGTACTAGATGATCAGTAAAGGGCAAAATATTAATTGTTTCTAAATGTTCATTTTGTTTTAGGTTTACGGTCAATGCAAAGCAATTATCTATATTAATCAGGCAAGAAATATTGCTCATCTGAATACTTATGAGTGCACTTTACAACCAGGTATGTCTTTAACATACTCTTTATATGAGAACTGGAAGAATTCTTTGCCAAATAGCATTACTTTAAATTTTAAATGTAATTATGACATTGCAGTATCTTCATTAGCTTCAGCTGCCCTGATTTTCTCAAGTCAGTGATCATAAGGCCAGGGAGGTAATGCAGCTCAAAAGAGTTCAGTAATAACTGTTTTAACCTCTGGGACACTCAGCAGAGCCTCTACATGGGCTTTTACCCTCTGAACCAAAAAACATTTTTGTGGGTTTGTGAAAGGCAAGGAAAAACAGCAAGCCCACTGTCAATAGGTTGAATTTTTCCTTTGGTGTCTGCCTCCGCTGCAACATTTTTATGGGTCTGTAAATACATAAAGATTCAAAATTATTGAGGGATGCAAACCACATATTCTTACTCCAGAGGAGTGGAGGACAAGTGGGCAGGGTTGGGGACACAGATGCATTTACAGTGACCTACAGTCAACATGCTTTTACGGTTATGCCTTCTCTAATGACATTGCTGTGTTTGAATAAAAAGTTCCAGGCAAATATATTTGGTCAGTGTGTCCTGACTGCCCAGTTGATGATTCTCCAACTAAGCCTGAATACTTGGAGGCTGCTGTCCGAAGCCTTGCAAAGTTCAATGGACAGAGTGAACAAACTCATTACTTCTCAGTCCTCAATGTCACAAGAACTTCAATGCAGGTAATCCAAGGCTCATCTGACTTGGTTGAGCCCTCAAGAATCCTTTATTGAGAATACTCCTGATCTTTGTGATCCAAGACTCTGATTCCATTTCTTGCAAAAAGAAATGCAGAAGTCAAGACATGGACTTACTTCCAAAGTCCAGAAAAGCTTCACTGTTAACTCTTTCTTCTTCCACCACCATGAATTCACAATTCCCTTAATAGAAAGCATTTAATAAAGCACAGTCATACCTTCCAATACATACCTGTAATTCACTGAATGAATATAAGCATGGTTTAGAACTAATTTTAGACTAACAGAGAGCTCATGATCTCATGGCTAAATCCTTTTTGTTTACCACAGTATTATCTAGTCTCTCTAAAATTCAGTATATATAGATAGCAAAGTTTTTCTTCTTTATCTAAACTGTCAGATATTACTACAATATACTATTTAATCACTTCAATTTTCTAACCCAAACTTCAGAAAGAGTAAAATGATTTTGTTCATTAAAACAACCAGATATTGTCAACAAGACACTGAAGAGGGTCTTTGGCTATGTAGTTCTATGTGGATGCTAATTTATGACAAAATGTAAACCCATTTCCACTACACCAATCCATGAGTTATTAAGATTGTGCATGTACAAGAAGTAAAAAATGACCAGGCAATAAGGCAGTACTGGCAAAAAAAACCCCAAAAAACAAAAAAAAAACCACTGTAACACAACTAACAGTAATGCCCAAGTATTACCTGTTCCTTCCATAGCATATGTTTTTAATAAATTTCAAGCTCAGTAGAAATTCTTTATTCTTCCTGACACATGCACAAGTTCTAATTGCCACTGGCCTCTCATTTACAGTGGGTCATTGGTCCTGCACATTTTGTGGAGTTTTTAATTCAGGAGACATCTTGCTCCAAAGATGACACAGTTGCTGACATCTCAATGTGTGAGCCACTTCCACCAGAAGTAGCTGTAAGTACATTTCCTTGTATAAACACCAGTTTTCCAGATACTATGATTCCTTAAATATTTAGTATTTATCTCCTCGGCTCTTTGCAGACAAGAACCCAAATCCACAGTCATCTTTTTATGGATCATATCTCTATAGTGTCTTGCAAGTCTACAGACTGCTTTAGAATAGAGAAACATTTCAGCAAAAGTTCTGAATTCTTACCAGAAGTCCATAAGCAAAGAAAACAAAAAAATACCATTCAGAAAAAGGTGGAGTAGCAATCACCTTACAAAACTGAGTCTAAAGGATTTCTCCCAAAGAAACAGACACAGACAATAAATCACAAACAATGCATGAAGAGTATATTCATACTACAATCAGGTCAGCTAAGGGAGACATTTAGGAACTAAGGGAAAAAATTGTAAGATAAACTGGAAGACTAAATGGGCATGTTGTCAAGAGATAACAATTCAAGCCCCATCTTAAGTGAGATCCAAGCCATGATACCTATAGATGTATATGCCTATACACAGTTACCAGAAACAACATTTTTGTCACAGTTTTTTTCACTAGTACGGCATGAAATTGGTTCTGTGTGGAAATTTATATTATGTTCTACACACAGCTTGCCTGCATAGAGATATTCTGCTGCAGGAGAACGTAAGCAAGCTGTTGTAGTTTGGCCAGCTTAGTTTTGCTATTGTGTTACCTAACCCTCCTTTGCAAACACAAGGCCTTTGTCAAAACACTGCCTGCCTTTGTGAGGTTGCCAATCCCAAAATAAAAATTTGCCCAAGCTGTTTATCCCTATAAATACACTTAAAAGCTATAACTATTCAGCCTTTCATAATCACTTATTTTACAAGATAGGAGCTTAGTATCAGGGCTCCATGTGAAAAAATGCTTGTACTTTCTTCTTACAGAAAATCGGTTTCTGCAAAGGCTCTGTAGTAAACAGTCATGAGGAAGAGTTTGTCACAATATCCTGTGAAATCTTCAGTCAGCAGGTATTTCTTAATCTAATCTTAATATTGCAAGAGTAATACTCCCTTACAAAACACGTATTGAACTTTTGAAAGCCTAGCCATTTTTAAGATTTATTATTCACAAAGATGTGCTTCAAGAAAGTGATAAGGCCAGATCAGGAAGAAATCTCTCTTATGATAAAACAGACTGTTGTTGGATGGATAAAAAGGCAATAGAGTGAGTATAGAGACAATCCTGCAGAATGTGTTCAGAATGCCCTACAATGAAATTGCAAATCACAGAGAGAATGCAAGTGGATATTACTGTAGTTACCCAAGTTTCATGCACTCATCACAACTGGCAGAAGAAGTAGTTACATCCTTTATCCTTTTAGCTTCTGTTCTGTAGCTGGTCTTGGAGGACTAGAGATGCAGCAGATCCTTAGTTTGAAGGGTAATCTTCATATCTGAAGGAATTTGGAACTGCTTCAATTTAGATAATGTTTATTCCTTGTGATTTAGGATCCTGCCACTGAAGAGGAAAACAAGGAAGCTAATCAGACACTTGGAAAATCCATGCAGGATCAACAGGCTTCCCCTTCAGATGCCAATCCCTTTTCCCCACACCTGGAAAAAACAGTGGGCTGGGTTAAAATTCTACCCCCTTCAAATGAGGACATCACTTTCCATAGCCTAAGAGAAAGTCAAAATGAACATAAAGATGGAAAGCCAGCTCCTCCTAAGGCTGTAGGATCTACCCACAGGTGTGATGGAGAAAAGACTCAAGTAAACAAACCAGATTTAACCAAACCAGTCACTGGACCCATTATTCTTCCTTTTCCTGAAGAGCCTTCTCTGTCAGATTCATGTCCAGGAGAAGCAAAGCAGACAGAAGGCATCCTCCATCCTCTGATAACTAGAAAGCCTACCACAGTCTAGCCAGCACCAAAGCACCTCAACTATCTGCAACAAAATAACAGCAAAATGGCAACATGGTTTTAAACTTGTGTAACACCTTCAAACAAATAAATAGTTTGTTACAGTCTTCATCTTTGGCATTCTCAGTTTTACGAAAGCACGGGAACAGATTAGGAAAAGAAATTTAACAGAGGCATTTTCCAACAAAACTATTTGGATTTTAATTCTGAAATTCCCCCCATCAGGTGAAGAATCAAATCCAGGCTATTGAGATTGTTATGCTCTAGTGATGCTGCTGTGCAGGAAAAACAATGATTTAAAAAACAGCCTAATTCTTTCTTGAGATAGGTCATATTAACTGCTTTATAATAAAAGCCACAGGGACACTCGACAGCCTGCAGCCAAGAAAAATCGATTTCACTGAAGTCAGACATGGTAATTGTACTGACAAAAACAAACATAAATAAATGAGAAGACAAGAAGAAAAAGAATGAACATAGGAAAGAAATGTCATCTGTGGCCAGGAGTACACTGATATGTGCAATAACTAAGGGGTTTGTATGAAACCATAAAGCCTTTTTCCAGTTGCCACCAGATCTGTAAGACCATTTCTTCAAAACAAAATCAATAAAGTATTGTTTCTGAAGCTTTTATGATACTGTATCATCCCCAGAGATCCTGGAAAAGTTCTACATTTAAAGAGCCTTACTACAAAATACTATGTTTTTTTCAAAGTATCCTGGCATTATGCAAGTTGATTAAAATATATTATTTTATTATTATAAATAAAATATAAAGTATTATTGTATTTGAGTGGGGCCAAAATAATATTGAAATGTGTGGCATTATACTCACAGAAACTATATTTGCATTTTCAGTCTGCAAAAATCTTACAAACAAATTTGATATAAAGAAGTAATTTAATTGCTTCAAAGATTAAAATAAGCTAAGAACTGATGTGTGAAACATATTAACTGAGCCAAAAATAATTCCATTTCAATCCCACATTATGAGAAAGTTTAATATATTTTGGTTTAATTCATTTCAGAGTAGAAAAACTTTCAAAATCAGATAGTTCTTGAAAAATCCTAAAATTCAAATTCTAACTAATTCTTATTGCAGTAGGAGCTCTAGGCTGTGTCAGCATTCCCTTTTTTATCAAGTCATCGGATTACAGCATTTTGTTTTTCCCTCGGGAAATTTCACCTTTGCCAGCTCGGGTTTCTCTAACACAACCAGTGTGTTCTTCCCTGGACAGGAGCTGCTGATCTGCCATATGCCCAAATCTGGGATCCCAGGCACTGCTCCATGCCCTCACACCCAGGGCTGCCTTCAGTGAGTCAGGGAACAGAGCACTGGGGCAGCAGCCTGTCACACTTCAGGGATTGTCACAACACTGGGTTTGCTCCTCTTTTCAGTTAATCACCACACTTCTCACTTCTGCTGCACAGTCCTTTTTATTAACTGTTTGCATGTCGATTCTATTCTCACTGTGGCTCCATCAGTTTAATGACACTACTGAGACTTTTATCAACATACACAACCAGATACTTCCCCTATAGGAGTACTGGGGAAGAAATCAGCTTCATTAACTGCTAGTTACAGCCACGAATACCCCATTCCACTCAGTTCTTTTTCTTGACTATGGCTCATTATAACAGCAAATTGCACAGCCACAGTGGGTGAAGACAAACGGAGTGGAGTTGGTGTGAACATAAGCAGGGGAAACTGGAAAGTCTGGATGACCAGTTTTGAGCATTCCATTTGGATACTGTGTAGCCTGTTTTGCAAATGAGGCTCAGAGATTACATTTGAATCAATAATTTCCCTAACTTGGATTTGGGTTCAAAGACTTCTCTGATTTAAAAATAAACAGAAGGAGGGGTGTTTATTTGAGCAGTAATTGTACCACAGATCAGCAAAGCACCAGTGGTCAGTGCAGAGTCATGAGCATTTCCTTTATTTGCTGTGGCCACTCCAGCACAGAGTCCACACCCAGTTTCAGTGTCACCTGGGCCACCACCAGTGTTTGCCATAATGGAGTCCAGGTACTGATGTCCAAGATTAAATTTTGAATTACAAGAAGGAGTCTGAAGTTGTATAGTTTCTGTGTTTCCTTTGTCCTCAGGACATACCTGGATACTGCAGCACTCCATATGGCATTGATATTATTAACAGCTGGTAGCATTTATTCATCAGGACTTCAAATCTGCTGCTGATTCAGCACCTTTATGCCAATCTGTGAGTGGGCCAGCACTGCAGCATTCTCCCTCCAGCACACCCACATGGGCAGCTTGTCTCCACACAGTGACTCTCAGAGACAGGAGATCATCTCAAAAACATACCCAGGTTGTGCTGAATTCTGGCCTGGCCTCAGCTTCCAGCCAATGTGAGCAAAGCAGCTGGGCAGTAACACACCCTGCATCCCTCCAGCCACACCCCAAGTGCTCCTCACCTCCTTCCAGGACTCTGGACTGTTACGTGCTGCTGGTCCTTGTCCTGCAGAAAACAGGCCAGTGACACAATGAAGCCCTTCATCCAGTGTTGGAGATGAGAAGCAGATGGATTTGGGCAGACAATTCGCAATTCACTTTTCAATTTTGTTTTACTGTTTTTCAACACTTATTGATCTTATGATATAATATCATTCATTAATAACTTATCTGGACATTATGTGGTCTAAAATGTGGTCTGATGTTTGTTTGAGCAAACATTCCAATCTCATATGAACAACATTTTTTATTCAGGCACAGATAAATGATGGTCAATGACTTCCAGAACTGTTGACATTTTTATCCAATATTTTCAAGCCTTTACCTCAGAATATATCTGAGGCACCATGAATGCAAAAACAGGAACAGTAATATTCAAAGGAAACAGAAGATTTTTAAAAGCAAGACCCAGACATCAAAGTTCTTAAGATGGGTTTTAAAAACAAGGTTTTTATAATAAAAACTAAGTATAAATTCTATTTGTGTGACTTCAGAACCTATTGCACACACTTCATAGTTAAGCATTTGCTTCTGCATCTGAGATGTAGAACTCCCTCTGACTCCATTCTTAACATCAAATTCTCAACCTCACCTTTTCCCCCAGCCTCTCAAGCCTCTCTACAAAAAGGTCAGTTTCCCAACATATACTTACATTCATAAATTTACAATTAGACTGCTTTTTTTTCTGAAAAGCAATTTGTAGCCAAAGACACTGAGGACAAGACACAAGACAAGGAATACTGACACCCTGCTAAGCAACAAGACTTCTTGTAACTACGTTGTCAACCTGCTCGTTTGACAGTCTTCTCCCCCAAATAGCTTTTGAACTTATGGTCTCTTTGAATGAAATTTGATAGACAAGGTGATGAAACTTCTACAAGTTTGATAAAAAACTGGTGACTGGTAAAGAAAAATAAGCTGCAGGCAGAGAGGGGAAGTTTGAGCTGGAGCTGCTGCTCTGAAAAGCATAACCAAAGCAAATTTGTCTAACACTGCATTTGCATTGGAGCCATCCTGTTTACACCCAATAGATAAAAATAAGACATGTCACATTTACATATTTTTCTGCCCTACTTGGGGGCATTCCTGTAAAGTGCAGAGCCACCCTAAGAACTGCAAATCATTTTTGGTTTTTGCATCAAGACCAATAAGGCCTGAAGCTCTGGGGAATTTCAGACTGAAAATAAAGAGAAGCCAGCCCAGAACTCACCTCTAAGCAGCTAAAGCCACATTTGTCTGTGTTAGCTGGGCTCTGGCTTGGGAGCAGGAACAGGGGTGGCTGCAGAGCAGCACAGTATGAGATGGGAAAGGCTTTGCTGCCTGCACAGGTGACCAAGCTGTGCCATGTGTGACACCAGCCTGAGTGTGAAGCTCTCCTGCAGAAGGCAGAGAACAGTCTGCTCATAGTAGATGTGGTCCCAAGAAACCAGGGATAGCTGTAAATAATTACAGCTGTACTTTAGGAAAGGAGGAATTGGTTATTGCATATCATCTCCTTTATGTGTCAGCTCTCCTTTTCCTATCCCTCTAGATTTATTATGCATTTCTTACACTGTTTTTCAAGTGGGGAAGATAAGCCTCTTTGATGTGCTCTCTCAGTGCTCTGGAGAGGTTTAGGATGGATGTTTATTACCATATCCTTAAACTCTGAATGTGGATCACCTCTTACTGTTGCAAGTCAACCCTCAGTAAAAGTCATAAATGAGGTTTTGATACACTACACAAGAGAAATGCCATGTTTGGATAAATATTTCTATTCTTACCAGCAAACTATTTACAGAGATGGCTTCATAAAAGCAATACACAAAACTTAAAAGTAATAAATATAAAAACAAAATAAGTTTTTAAAAATATATCAAACTGAAGGAGAAGTGATAAAAATACATTATTCTGACTTAAATACAACCAATATTTAATTAACTTTTCTTATTGTGCCTGGAGTTCTTGTCAATGCTGTACTTTAATAAAAGGTCCAATCTTTCCTCTCTGAAGAAATCAAGGACAAAACCCTTTAGAGTTGGAACAGAATCTTACTTTACTTCTGCAGTCAATTTTGCAGGAATTGCACATTTTCCACTGTTTATTCATACTGTTTCAATTTCACACATAAAATATACATAAGCTATGGTAAAAAAATGGTAAGTGTCACAATGAAAAACCCAGAACAGAAGAGGTAAAAAAGAACAATCTGCAAACAACAGACGGCTGAGGGAATTATGTTATAAATCACCTAATCCAATGCTTTTCTTCAGTATCACTGCCCATTTGAAAAAATTAACAAGTATTGTAATAAATGAATTTGGGTCCAATTCGGAACACAGTAATAACAGAAACTTTATTTTTAACTGATGGGATATATTTCAAATGTCTTTGATTATTTACACAACATTTATTTCACTGCTTTTTTTTTTTTTTCCATCTTCTGGAAGAGATTCTGAGTAATTATAATGAAAAATATTATAAAACCAAGCCAAAGGAAATGACCTATTTCATCAGAACAGTTCTACATCCAGCCCAGTATCCATCTCTCCCAGTGGCAAAAGGCAATTGTGGTTAGAAGAAGCTTATGACCTGCCCCTCTCTGCCAAGCATTCCCCTTGTACTTTTCCAGCACCCAGAATCATTCTACCAGGGACATTAAAGGCCACTCTTCTGCTGAGTCCTTCTGGTATCCAGGTCAGGACCTGCTGCCCACGAAGTTTTCTAAGCAATTCCTGCCCCCAGTGACAGTATCTGCATCCAGATCTTTCTGTGGCAACAAGTTCCACAAGTGAGAGGACTATTTTTAACTGTTTTAAACTTACTCATGATGGTTTTGAGTGCCCCTGGTTCTAATATTTTAAGATGCTCCATTTAGCTTATCTGTTACCAGAGAATTGTTAAGTGTGTCCTGAACTAACTACAAATGAAATATACTGCTTCAGCTCAGTTCATTTTAAAACATGATTTCTTAGACAACAGACATGCTAAGAGATGGAATTTTTAAAAATAAAGAATAATTAAATGAGGTAATTGTTAAAGATGATTATTCACTGTATTTCTGAAGGTTTCTCAAAAAAAGAAAAAAATAATTTAAAACCCTTCACGGTCAAGCATGTAAATCCAAGTCATAGAATCATAAAATGCTTTGAGTTGGAAGGGATCTTAAAGATCATCTATCTTCCAGCCCCCAACTCAATTATACAGCCAGCACCTTTTCTGTGAGAAGCTAATCAAGTCTTAACATCAACCTAGATTTGGAAAATTCCTCATCTGAGTCTGACCTTGTCATTTTGGACTCACTTTGCATTTTTGTGTTTTCTTATTCAGTGTTTGAATTTTGTATTCCATCTTCAGTCACCCCCTGACAAGCAATTACTGCCTTTTAAGAATGTTTTAAACTATCCTGAATAAAAGATTTTGAATACAGTGAGACAACATCTCATCCTTTCTGCTTAGGAGAGACTATTGTCATATCCTTGAACGGTATAAATCTTACTAGGTACTGCATTATTTTATTAAATACAAAAAGAAAAATTACTAGCAATTCTATAGAGAAGTCTATGAAGGCTACCACAGCCAAAAAAGCACATAAAACTGCTCAGGTTGAGAATGTGAAGGCAGCTTTATGTAACTTCTTGCCATACCTAGATTACACAGCTATTAGGCCAGTCAGACACTTTCTGAGTACCAGGCTGAAATGATGTAAAGCTGATAGAAATCTGCTCTAAATTTTCTTGATCTGGAGGAGTAGCAGGTACTCACATAGCAGCTACAGAGCACCAACCTGCAGTGCACCTTGAGCTATATCCCTTTTCCACATCTGAGTGAATTCCTTATTTCCCTTTCACTAGTTGCCTAGTGGTTAAGGATCTGTAAAAACAGGGATATGGATATAGCTATAATTTGACTACAAATATTTCAGCATATTTTCAGTTCAACTGTTTTAATAGTAAATAGAAGACCAAGATTGTGTCATATCTGCAAACATAAACTGGACCTTCTTACTGCCAGGCTCAGCCTTACACTTTTAGAAGTACTTTCCACGATAAAGCACCATTGCACAATGTCTGCCTAAAGAATCATAAACAGGCCCTTTGATGGGCAGTTCAGAAAGTATTATAAAGCCCACTTTCCTCAAAATCTGCTCAATCACTGTATAATCATTTACTTGCTGTTTGCAAATGTTAATCCAGGGTCAAGGTAATGGCTGTCTGACACGACACTTAAATTTATGTAAAACCATGCCCTTTTAGCATTCATTTATAATTTTGGTGGGCTGCTCTGATTTAAAAGCAGGCTGACTTTATCAGGGCATGGGCACAAGTGACCAAACACTGCAAACAAAATGCTGCTTCTAGCTTCAGCTTTTTTTCTAACACTACTGCAGTGCTTTAACGCCCAAAATGAAATAAGCTTTACACCTGCAGACTGTAACACCATTGAAACAGATGCAGGAGTGGCCCTGGATTTGGTCAACAGGCATCGCAGAGATGGTTATGTTTTTGGTTTATTCCGTGTTGCTGATGCACATGAACTACATTTAGTAAGTATGAACTTAAAGGCTGATTTACACAAGACTGTGATTTTAAAATAATGAGCCAGGCCATTAAGAGCTTATGTTTATTGCTTTACTAGAACAATGTTGATGTAATCCAATGAATCAGCTGTAATTTACACCACCTCAGTATTCATTTGTGTATCATTTATTGAACATAAACTTGATTTCAAACAATGCTGAATGGCCTCTCTTCTCTTGGCCAGCAGGATGTTTGCATATGAGATGCTTTGAACAGCTTTATACAGCTCTGGAAATGAATCTGTTCTGTCTGCTGTCTGATTCCCAATATTATATTCAAAATTTATATTCAGAAGGTTTCTTTATTCCATGAATGTCTAACATTAATTAGACCAATGTATCCTGCAAGATTGTTTTTTGTTATTATCTTAATTTCAGAGATGGCTGAATAAACTGGTGGAAAGGGGAAAAGGCAGAGGAAGTCAAAGGAGTTGCTACTTTACAAAACTGGGGAGGGACTGGATAGAGAATCCCTATCAGTCATTTTCTATCTCCTTCCTATTTCTATTTTTTTTTTCCTGGCGAAGATACATAAGCCTTTCTCAATGACAGCTGAAATGCCAAAACAAATCAATAGCAGAAAAAGCAATAGAATAAAAATGTCTTTAAATAGTACATAAAAGAGACCAAGGACAGGCAGATTTACTAATCCACCTGGTAGCTTTTACCTGCTTGACTATGAAACTGGTTTTCAGGCACACATGCATTGTCCCAGAAGTCTCAGTATGGCAACAGCAAAACCAGGCTAGCTTTTGATGGAGCTGCTCAGTACTGCCTGTACAGACAAGGACAGGTTCAGAAAGTGACCCAAAGCCCAGACTGTCACAGGTCTTCGGGTACACCTGGAAAAAAACTGATGGATTTTTTTGCTTTTCAAAGACAAGAATGCAGCAAGTTATACCATTGGTCTGTACACAGTAGCTAGGCAGTTAAAGAGCTTAATCTAGGAAGGATCTCTTCTACATTAAGAAATTTAAACCCTGAAGTCTCCTGTCCTTGAAGAATTCTGCTGCCATGCAGCTATGTGTATGCCACCCCTCTGAAGTGGTACCACCAGGCAGTAAGACATGCAAAATGAATTGGATGACTGATAAAAAGCAAAGTTGTGTCTAAAAAGAAAAATGTCAGTGTTTTTACATTTTAAGCAACTATTGGCTATATAAAGTATAAAACATAACTTGGAATATGGACTAGTGCTGAGGACTCAGACTTCCAGATGAATGCTATAAGCACTAGAGGACCATGTTTATGTTTTGCTTTGTACCCTTAAGAAATTATGCCATCTTTGCAGTCCAGGGCCACAGCTTCAGCTGTCACACAGTGTCTACAAGAACAGAAAAGATACTTCTATCTATCTGACTGCTAAAGAATCCTCCCTGTAAGGTCTCTGAACATTCTCAGACCCAAAACCACCAGATGTGATCTCCTGCAAATAATCATGTATATTATTGTGCAAGAATTATTTTGGTCCCACTGCCAAGATAACATTAAGAATATGTATATGTTAATAAAAAAAAAAAAAAAAGACCAAAACACTTTTTATTTCTCCATGCAATAGTGTGCAACAGGTTAATCACACCAGCCCCCTCAGAAACCTAAGCAGAGCAATTTCAGCCAAATCTCTGCTGGGTTTACACAGGAATTCTAGAAGCATAAGATACTCAGGTATCCACAACAAAACAGTTCTGAACATGTGCAGAACTGTAGTGAACAAAATGCTTTTAAAACAACCAAGAAGATACAATTTTTCCCCAAGAGCTATTGAGCAAGTAAACAGAGGAATTTTCTACTGCCTATTTGAATGTAGGCACTTAACCCCTATTTTAAAATTAGAGACAATGCTCAGATATACAGATATTGCAAAACCATTGGAGGACTCTAACTAGTGAAAATATTACACTAGAGTGCAGCAATTCTTCAACAAGGTCTCATCTATAAAGAAACAATGAAAAAGGAACCTGAATGGGTGGAACTTCATAAAGCCCAAGGACACTTATTCAGAGTGTAGGGCATGTTTTTATCGAAATGATAAAATACATATGTGTTTATTCTGGATGTCCATACAAGGGCTGAATAAAGTTTAAATAATCCATTCCAAAACTGTTTCTGTGGGCCACAGAAAAATTCTTAGCACTACATACAAAAAGTTCTGAAAGAGTATCTGGTCACTAAGGTAATTTGAAATGGATGTAGATACATAATTGGCTGCCTAGACAACCGATGTCCTAATAGAACAGTATGTTCCATGGGAAAATCAGAAATGGGAATGGCAACCTTTTAACACTGGCATTTTCCTACTTGATGAATGTCAGATTAACAACAGACACTTTTCAGAGGTTATTAACAAAAGGATAAGAAACAAAAGGTGTAAGTTGCAGGAAGGGGTATTCTGACTACATATAAGACTAAAAATAGACATGGAGAAAGTTGTTAAGTACTAGAATGGCCCAAAGATGTTGTAGAATATCTGTCTTGGTGATACACAGAATGCAGTTGAAACTTTGAAGTTTCAGTTTTGCCTTGAGCAAGTGGCTGGGCAAGATGACCTCCAAAGGTCCCTTCCAGCCTGAACACTTTCTATGCTTGTCAACTCTGAAAAACCTTAATAGAGAACTGGAGAAGTCTCATAAAAGATTAAACATAGAAACCTCAAAAAAAGTTTCTTTCAGATCAAACTTCTTGTCTACAAACTCTTTTTTACTTGCACTTCTCTTCCAGGGAAATTCAACAGTCCTCTACTTAACTTTGGATGTGCTGGAAACTGAATGCTCTGTCTTATCCAGAAGACACTGGGAGTCCTGTGAATACAGCAACACCTATCCAATGGCAAGCAATGGCATCTGCACTAACTCATACACCAATAATGCACTAACTTGATCTTCATCTGAACTGCCCAGAAATTTGTGTCACAAAATCTATCAGTGAAGACTGGGCTTTAATATGGTTCATTCTAAAATGAAATCTATCTAATTCTAGAATGTTAAACATATGCTAAAGGCTTGGGAATGATTGACTCTTCAAATAAGTATAACTTTATTTAACTTGCTGTCTCAAAGGAACTATACTCCACATTCCATTGCTTGTAGCAGATCTTATGTTTTAGGGGTAATTTTCTGACAACTAAAGGGCACTAGAAATTATTTTTAAAGCATGTTCCTGGTATATGAGGCAGAAATACCAGTGGTATCTTTTGTCAGTTTTCTGTCATAACATTTGTGGTATGACAATTGAAATATTGGTAGTGTCATTACATGGACAATACACAGCAATACTTGTCCTTTCTTTTGCACTCCAGTGATGAGAACTCCCAGTCCAAAACTTTATTTACACAGGAGTTGTGATACTATGACAAAGGACAAAGCAGAAAGGCCAGGAGCAGAGAAGAAAAAGCATTTATTCTTTTTCTTTTTCTTTTTCTTTTTTTTTTTTTTTTAATGGAGAAAAGGAATTAATGAAAAGGTCCATTCACTTTTTACAAAGATTTGTGTAGCCTGGCATTCTAACCTTCCCTGCCATCATGTCTTATCCTACTCTAAACAATTATCGGAATGACTACGAAAGCTGTTTCAGATTTCCATTGTCTACTCAATCATGCAAACTGAGAATTAAAATAAAAGCTCTTGTAGAGAGAGATCCCATTTTATCTGAAGACAAATTTTGAGTGGTACCTGATCAAACATTCTATTAATGACCACATCTGTTATTCTTAGAGGTACTGCACATTAAAAGGAGGTATAATTTCTATGATTGCCTACATCCAATTAAATCCAGGGAAAATAACATCATAATCATGTATTCTTTTTTCCTCTCAGGACTTTGGGCAATGTAAGATTATCACATATACAAACCATCTGCTGAAGAAACCTCAACTATATGGATTTAATTGTACATTAAGTCCAGGTAAAATTACCACTGCTGTAAGCCAATGCATACCTCAAACCAGCCCTTGTACCAAAGTCTGTACACTACCAGTGTATGGAAACAGTAACAGATCCATTCATCTGCTTGTAATTCATATTTTAGATAATTCAAATGGAATGTTAAGAATGAGTAACAGAATTAAAGTTACCCTACTCCTCTAAACCAGACTTTACTGATGTCAGCTGATATCACCATTCCAGTCCACCTAAATATGAGAATTAATATCAGAACAAATGTAAACTTGAGAAGACTGCACATTTGGGGTCGTAAGATTCTAAGGTGATTTATAAGGATACTCATTTTCATGGGTTTGGGTTTTTTCACATTACAGAACAAACCCTTATTTGTGGAGTGAGGGACAGGTGTTTCACTTCCAAGGAAACGCTGCATTTAAGTTTCTCATTATGAGTTCACATTAAAGGCATGGGCACACTCCCAAAGTATTAGTATCCACTGTAATATTAGTCAATTATTTGTTTTCACAGTTCCACTTGACTTAGTTGAGTGCAAAGATTGTCCTGTGAAACTTGAATCCTTAGAAGTCACTGAGCAACATAAAGATATTGCTGCAAAGGCCCTGAAGAAATTCAACAGTGAAGGTAACCACACAAACAACTTCGCTGTGGATAAAGTTGAAAGAATTTTAAAGATGGTAAGTTGCATTTTCTCCTAGAATTACTTAGAAATGACACAATTTTGTGAGCAACTCCAAGACCATAGGACAGAACTCAAACCCTTCTAGGATCAGATCTAAGTTGAAGGTCCTACTTTAGCAAAGACTTGTTACCAACTTCAGTTTAGGCGTGTGAAAGTAAAAGGACTTCTCATTTGCTAAAGAACTATGGCAGTGTGATGGCATTCAGAATTCAAGGCCTTCTTTGTTATTTTAATATTTTATTATTTTGTTATTTTAGTATTTTTTACTTTGTTAATTTAATATTTTAATTTTTACATACATGACATACAAGAGTTTATTTACTACTGAGCAGAATTTGAGATGGACAGTCATGTATTATTGCAGTCACAATTTTGTCAGTTGCAGACAGATAATTTTTTACTCTTAGAATATTTAGCACATGGGTACAACAAACGTGGAACATGCCCAGCATCATTTTGACTCTTGCTGCAGAGCAAAGCAGCACTCTGAGGAAGGGAGGTGAATTCGTGCTGTAACTCTTGAAGAACTTCTGGGTCTGGTAAATATCTCCATATCTAAGTGAGGTCAATGTGAAGACTTATCCTTTGGGTGATTTGTAGTATATATAACAAAATTTCTTGTTGGTAGATACTGGGGACTTTCACTTAAACAGCACAGGATCATTCTGCCAACACATGTGTCAGCTCAGGACACCTCTGTAATGAGGTCCCATGGCTCCCACCATAATACATGTTGATTTTGGAAACTGCCTAAGCGATAGCACACCAATCCCACCTCCCTGCAGCTTTTAATATCGCTCGGAAACCTGACAGTGTCCCACACTGGAGCCCTGTGCACGTTGTATCCCTACTGCCATTTAGAAAGGGATTGTTTTCACATTGCCTGGCTCCATGTGTTTCTCCCCATACACTTTGTTTTCACACTTCACCATCTTCAGCTACAGCAACACTCTACATTGTACCACTGGCTTTTAACACTCAGAAACTATGAATTACAATAAAAACCCATACCATAAAGTATGTGCACGCACTTTTAACCAATTTAGTTAAACTAGTGAAACTCGTATATGCACACATGCTAAAGACACCGTCAACACAGACTTGAAATAAAAGTACTGCTATAGTTGGAAATTAAAATGAAACACCTCTTTATGGATTTTAATAGGATCACAAAGTCTTTCTCCCATGTTCATATGGAGTAAGGCCTTCTCCATAACTAATGCCCTTGACAACAGAGAAAGCAACATTATCACAGTAACTGGCAGAATTTCACCTCAAATTAACATCAGCACTCCAATACTATATACTCCCATCACTGGAAATGGGTGGTTGCCATCCAATAGATCGCTCTGCTTTCACAGAAGCAGCAGTTCAGTTTACAGAAAAGACTCTAAGGACACTACTTCCTAAAACACAGGCTGTAAAAGTAACAGATTTTATAACACACGCATACTAAACAAAGAATTAAAGCAAGCATTCCTGGAAGCTGTAAGGGTGTGAGATATAAATTATCTAACCTGTTTTCCTTGCTGAATATGTGTATGTGCACGAACATTTGAACAGGACAGGTAAGGAAAGTTTGAGGTAGATGGGATTTTGAAAATGAGATGACATATGATTGCTCTGAAAATTACAAGACTTTAAGTACACCTAGTTACCACTTGTTCTTTGACCTCTTGGTTTCAGACTGCCTCCCGTGAAGGTCACATTGTAGGATTCTCTATAAAAGAGACCAACTGTTCAAAATCTATGCAGGAAACAGATCAGGCATTGGAATGTGATTTCCTGCATGACTGGCACGCTGTAAGTAAAGTCTTAGAACAAGAACTGATATAAGGGGTGGTACTGGGAAGATTCTACCAATATATTTTCAAGTGTTTAGTATAAGCATGCACCCAAACTCAAAACTAAAAATCCAGCATGTCCAAGCCTGGATACTAACTTTACAGCTGCTCTATTATCTTTTGGAAGGAAACAGTCTGAATTCTCAAATCCTAATGCAACTGGAATCTGGCATGCTAGAGGCCTAGAGTTTTTCAGGTTGTATGTGACTTTTGGATTCAAACTGGGGCCAATCCCTAGCAAATCATTCATGCTATGTCCATAAAAACTTTTATACCAATATGAGTCATAGTTCCTTTAAAAAATATATGCCTTATGTAATCCCAGTGAGCTCAGGGTCACTTTTTTCTCTGCTGCAGAAGAATGGAGAGTGGAATAATTCAAGGTCATCTGCAAAAAACTATCAAATTATTCTCTTCACCCCATTTTTCCATTACTATTATAGTCTACATCAAAGAAACAGTTAGGCAAGATCTCATAATTTCAGAATAAATTATTTCCCAGAAACAAAATTGAAACAATGCAATAAAACATGGAAAAAAGAAAAGATGTACAACTTTTGGTTTATATGGTTTACATCCATTTTGGTTTGATGGTTTACATCCATCGCCTTCTCTGGTTTTTTATATTCCAGAAGACTGGAAATGGTTGTAAATTAACTGGTAAGGCAGCCACAAGTTCACTAGAACAAAGCACAAGGTAAATGGCAATAGAGGGCCTGAATTCTGTTCTCAGTGCTGCCATCGCTGCTGTTTGTGTGAAATGCCATTACCATTTGTAGTCACTGAGCACAATGGGCTACTAATGGCCCAAATAAATATCAAGACAAAGCACCCAGTACAGAGAGCACACACAGAACCCATCACCTGAGTTCTGTGCTCTTTCACCTGAGCAATTCCACACGCAGCAACTGGACAGCAAGAGAAAGTCACAGCAAATAGGATGCAAAGGGAAGTAATGTAAAAAATTACAACAAATTGCTTTTTAAAAAAGAAATGGAAGAAAGCTCTGCCTTGAGCTTTATCTGAAGCAGCATAGCTACACAGTGCCAGGTTTTCAGAGCTTTGAGCAGAATTATGGAACAGTCCAATCTGAACAGATGTTTGACAAGAAAAGACAGGAAAAAAAAAACCAAGAAAAATCAGGTGCCCAAGGGTACTCATTTTGGAGGCATTAGTGGCTGGCCAATCTCTTAGACATCAAAAGGGAAGTGAGATGCAGAGTAGTAGCCCTCTAAGTGCATGTAGAGTGCATCACATGAAGAGTCAAGAATCTTCAAAAACTGCACATATATTAATCATTATTAATCACTGGCAAGCATTGGTTGGAAGGCTTGGGATCTGGCTATGTTATGTCAATATACTTAGGTGTCAAAGGAATAGCCTAACTTGTAAAATGTTGAACATTCAGTAATTTGTATTAATTCCATCACATGAACCCAGATGTGCATTGTGGGTTTTTTTCCTTGTTTTTTTTGCTTAGCACACCGGATTCTGCAAGGCAAGAATTATCAGTGATGCAGATGAAGCTGATGGAACAGATATAAGCTGTGAAATCTACCATCCCTGGGTATGTACTCAGTTATGGACATGTCTCTGGCTGTATCCTCATGCAGGTTGCAGAACCTTGCTTAGTCCAGACTGGCAGATGATCGTAACATTTATGCAAATTTTCTATTGCCTGGGTGTGATGCAGCACGTCAGGACAGACTGACCTGCAAGTCCTAGGTCAGTCAAAGGATGAATCAGAATTGAGCTGTCCCTACTACTCCTTCCAAGTGTGTCTTTTCTCAGTTCAATCACTTGACTAAGTGAGTAGAGATTGGCAAAAAAGTTCAAAGGAATTTTAGAAAGCAAGGGGAGGAGAGATGATCCTTATCATATCTGGTATTCCAGTTTCTATCACAACAGCTACTCCAGTATGGATTTGTTTTGTTTTGATCTATCACAAATACTTCTCAGCTGGTTATATAATTTCAACATTGTCTGTTTCCAGCAGATTTTCAGTAACTTGGTATTTTATTATCTATTCCTTCTCCTCCATCATGAAAAAAATACAGATTTTTTTCCCTTAAAGATCATCAGAGCTATGAATGCAAACCTGCTAACTCCCACCTCTCTCTTTCTCATCAATTTCTTCTGCTCTATCAATACCTGATTAATACTTCCTCACTGGTGTTTTTATAAACAGCACCATGGCTGTGGGCGAAGATGGAAACATTCAGCTCTGGGACATCCACACAGACATCCCCACTGTCATCATCATTTTGGTCACAGACATCACCATAAGCATCACCATAGACATGAATGCCACCCCTCTTCTCAGTCCAGACCTGAAGACCCTGAGCATAACCCCAAATCCAGCAAGGAAGTTCAAGACAAAGGACCTTCTTCTCCCCCTCCTCCCCATTATGAACCAGATCAGGACCATCCTACTGCACCTCCTCATGGACCAGATCATGACCATCCTCCTCACCACCATGGACCACCCTGTCCCCTGCCTCATGGACCAGGTCACCAGCACCCTCCTCACCATCATGGACCACCCTGCCCTCCTCCTCATGGACCGGATCACGACCATCCTCCTCACCACCATGGACCACCCTGCCCTCCTCCTCATGGACCGGATCATGACCATCCTCCTCACCATCATGGACCACCCTGTCCTCCTCCTCATGGACCAGATCACGACCATCCTCCTCACCATCATGGACCACCCTGCCCTCCACCTCATGGACCGGATCACGACCCTCCTCCTCACCATCATGGACCACCCTGCCCTCCTCCTCATGGACCAGGTCACCACCACCCTCCTCACCACCATGGACCACCCTGTCCTCGTCCTCATGGACCAGGTCACCACCACCCTCATCACCACCATGGACCACCCTGTCCCCCTCCTCATGGACCAGATCATGACTGTCCTCCTCACCATCATGGATGGCACTGTCCCCCTCCTCCTGGACCCCCTCCTCATCACTGTCATCACTATTACAGACATCATCACAACAAGACAAGCATATCAGGAAAGTATTTTCCATGCCATGTAACAGGAGCTGTCTATCGCATCCCAGTTCCAAATCAGCAACATTCTCTCACACCTCCCACTGCAAACTTTCCTGAACTATCCCAATGCAGCCTTCACTTTTCCAGCACTGGCTCAAAACTAAAGGAGATGGCAGAAGCTCCAGGCTTTCCAGATCTCCCTACACAATCAAAATCATGCCCCGGAAAACCCAAACTTGACCTTCCAAACATTTTGCCTTTATTTCCTTATAGTCTTGTAACAGAAAATTCTCCTATATGACCTCAGAGAAAGATGTTCCTGGCTCAATAATTTCATGGGCAACCACAGTCCTACAGTCAATGAAAACAGCACATGGAGAGGTGGAAAAGGCATTCTGTTTCTAGGAAGGAGAATCACTGAAAATAATCATTACATATTTCAACCTGCTTCTTCATCACAGCTATCTCAAGCTCCACTGTAACTGAAAGACTCAAAATTCTGAGTCCCTTAGATAATGTGAATGGGTAAAAATCTCCCCAGAAAATGATGGTACTTCAGTTCTAACAAAAAGGAAAATTCTCTAATAGTGCAAATTACCATCTAAAATCTTTCTTTTTTCATCATTCATAACTATAATGCACTTCCACAAGGAATCTGACCTAGAGGAAATTGGACTGTTTGCCATAAAACTTATATTCATGCTTTATACAGATTAATAGAAAATAAAAATGCAAGCATTTTTTTCTTGACACAGTTGCGTGTTTTGGTTTTTTGCCTTTTTTTGTTTTTTTCTACTACACATAATTAGCTATTAGATATTGAACTAGAAATTATATTAAACTATTAAGCTATTTAGGTATTAAACATCCACAAAGCAAACTCTAGAATAAATTGACTAATGGTGTTTGGGTTAGCACTGTTATCTAGAAGGGGTCTGAGAACAGTTAATGACTTGCTGTCTCACTGCAGGGTGGCCTGCACAGGTGCTTCCATCACTACAGCTGCTGGTGGTGATACATAGAAATATTGCAGTCAAGGACAGCCCTTCTCAAATAGTTCATAATTGCTCTCAGGGGAAGAGAAAAGCAGATGCATGTAATAACTCTTTCATGTAAATGTTTTCTTTATTGCTGAGCCTTCCTCACTGGAAACTGAGTTGGGAGGAACAGGAAGAAAGAATAGTGGTGCCTCTTTATACTCCAGCCCCCATCAAGGTCAAGTCCATTCAGACTGTCCAGGGACCAGCAAGCTGGTTCAGAACAGCTATGTCATCAGCAAGAATATGGGATTCTCAAGCTCAGTCTCAAAAAAAGTTAGTAATTTGATCATCCAAATAGCTTTTTAATAGCATAAAGTGAAACACAGTGCAAAGGCCACATTGAAGAAAAAGAAACAAAATGAGGACTCGGCGTGACTGAATGAAGATTGACTAATTTTTAAAAGCCTGTTATCATGTATGAACAAACTTATTTCTGGTGTAGTTTATCCACAGTCTCTGAAGTGCATTTTCTTTAATCAAAACTTGTAACAAGTGTGGTGAGTTTGCTCTGGCTGGGTGCCAGGTGCCCACTAAAGCTGCTCTGTCACTGCCCTCCTCAGCCAGACAGGGGAGAGAAAATGTAACAGAAGGCTCATGGGTCAAGGTAAGGATAGAGAGATCACTCACCAAATATCCTCACAGGCAAAACTGACTGGACTCAGGGAAATTGGCTTATTACTAATCAAACCAGAGTAAGAGAATGAGAAATAAAGTATCTTTGAAACACCTTCTTCCCAGGCTTAAATTCACTCCTGGTTTTCTCTACCTTCTCTGTCACCTGATGTAGTGGGATGGGAATGGGAGTTGCAATGAGCTCATCATATGTTCCTTCTGCCCCTTCCTTTTCCTCCGGATAAGGACTCCTTACACTCTTCCCTTGCCCCAGCCTGGGATCCCTCCCATTGGAAGCAGTCCTTCATGAACTGATCCAATGTATGTCCTTTCTGTGATGTGCAGTCCTTTAGGAACAAACTGCTCCAGCCCAGGCTTCCACAGGGTCATAGCCTCCACTGGGCATCCACATGCTCTGGTGTGGGGTCCTCCATGAGCTGCAGGTGAATCCCTGCTCCACCACTGACCTCCAGGGGTTGTAGGGGCACAGCTGCCTCACCATGGTCTGCTCCATAGGCTGCAGGAAAATCTCTGCTCCTCACCCACAGCAGTTCTTCCCACACATTCTTCACAGGCCATGGGATTTGCATAGCTGTTTTTCCCACATATTCTCACTCTTCTCTCCCCGCTTCTTTCCCAGTTCCTATTTTTTCCCCTTCACCACTACATTATCCAGAGGCACTACCACCAGCGCCGATGGACTCAGTCTTGGCCAGAACTGGATCCATCTTGGAACTGACTGGCATTGGCTCTGTCAGACATAGGAGAAGCTTCCAGCAGCCTCTCACAGAAGCCACCGCTGTTATCAAAACCTTGTCACACAAATGCAATACAGCAAGAAACAGCTGGAACACAGGAGCCAAGGCAATCCCAAGGTGTTCACAGACTCAAAGCAAAACTATTTGGAGCCACACAGGGGAGACAAGCACCAGTTCTCAGCCATCTCTAATCCTGGCTTGACCAGACTCAGGTGATAGTGCTTAATCCTTTGTTCTGTGTCACGTATCTGCAACAATAACAAAGCACTATGATCGCTGGCTAATCCTTAAACCAGGCAGCCTCCACATGGCAGCAGAGATGGACTTCCCAAAAGGACCATGAAGGACAAGGTTTATCAAGTGCTATTGAAGGGTTACGTGACATTCAACCATATGCATGTGTCCAAAGATTTTCAAACCTGTTCTGATTACTATAGTTCTCAGAACTGTTGCAATCTGAAGACTAAACAGATCTATACAATTTACAAGGCTGTTGTCCAAACTTCATTGCCACTGTGACCTTCCTGGATATTTTATTTAAGCCTTGTAAAATTCATTCTCAGTGGCAGCTTAGGTGTTAAGAAGTCAGAAAGCTGCAACCACTTCTTTCTCTTTTGCTTTACTTTGCCTAAACTGGTCCCCAGCTGCAGCCATTTATCCTGTTATCTTGATGGCAGGTGGATAACCTTAGTGTCATTCTGGTGAACAAACAAAGTTTATTTAGATAAACTCAGAAGTTTATTTGCAGTATAAACAGGGTATGATGAGAACCAACCAACCCCAGCAACCCACTCATTCTGTTTACTTAACTACTGCTCCTGAAAAACAGAAGAGGTGACTAAAATCCTGTCAGGCATTCCTTTTCCATTTGGTTCTTAAAGAGCCTTCTAATTCAGGGGGCCTTTTTCATCCAGTTATGAGGGCTTTCATTGTACTAGCACTCTGCTGTAGTTTTTTCTCTAGCAGAGGCATTCCTCTTGCATTTGAGTTTTCGGACTGTGATGACCCTGATGTCTTTCAAGCTGTTGATGCAGCACTGAAGAAATACAATGGAGACAGGGAAACTGGTAACCAATTTGCTCTATACATGGTGATGGAAGCCAAGAGAACTGTAAGTACATTTTGAAAAAAAAGCTGGAATTGTTTATGCACTCTGAATCAGCTTATCTCCATCTCATTTGTAAGGGGGCAAGCATGATAGCAAAGTGTCTTCCAAAAATGTTTTGAAAAAATCAAAGTGACTTGCACAGTAAGATACTTGTTCCCCTGACAAGCAGGGGAGTATATTATGTTTTTATCAGCAGAACTCTGTGTGCTGCTGAATTGCTTACTAATGTAAGAACTAAAGAATAGAAAATTTCTATCACCAACACAATTTGTCTTACTATTCCACTCTGTCCTCTTTCTTTCTTTATTGGGAATTCTACCCCTTTCTATCATGTGTAAGTTTTTCAGACCAATGGCAAAACCACACTTACAAAAAAATATTACTATAATCTTGACTTGGGAAGAGCTGGTGCCACACATGAAGAGGAATCACCTGATAAAGTTTGGCAATATTCTGACTTGTTTGTGAATACTATTTGATTGACACCATTCCTAAGTCACAGATCTATCTAGAAGCAGTAGGTGGGTATTTTAGTCGAATAGGGTGACAGCTAAAATTACAGAAGAAAGAAGAATGCAACACGATCCTTTGCCTGGAGTTCTTCTATATAGCCTTAATCTAACAAAAGAGTATTTACCTCAGAGAGGTATACAAAGATGGTATTACCATAATAATGACAAGCATTATTTTACTTGAAAATAACATTAGCATTTTTTTTTTCTACTGGATTGGATTTTCAGATGTAAACCACAAGAAATCCAGTGTTAGAATATTTTGCACTCCAAAAATCACAGGACATTTTTACCCAGACAGAAATTGACCTCGGAAAGGAGCCATGTATTGCTAAACACTTACAGCAAATTACCCACATCTCCTGGCACATGCCCTCTCATGTTCCTGTTTACACAGGAGATTTTAGCATGTGGAGACAAAGAGTAAAATCAGAAAACCCTTTATATAATTAATATTAAGTAAATTAATAGTCTCACTGAACATTTTTAACATTCTCATTCTTAACAACAGCCAAATGCAAATATCTCTATATTAGAGGTGTAGTACCACCTACCTTCCTTTTGCTGGTGTTCCCAAAGGAGAGATAGGAGTTTCAGAATTTTATCTTAAACAATGCTATATTTTTAAGAATACATATTTATTGCAATTATTATTCATCTTTCATTCTCTAGATAGCCATCTTTCCTTTTCTTAAAAGATACAAAGTGGAAATCAATTATAACTTTGAGTCACTGATCTGATTATGATATAAAGTAAAAAACAGAGAAAAGGAATCTGCAATTGAAATTTTCTCATATTTGAGATTCTTTTTCTAAAAAGAGTATAGATTTTACTTCTCACTAGTCTCACAATGTTGAATGCATTAACTAAATAGCTGGTTATTACATATTCATGTACATTCATTATTTATAAGGTAATAAAACATAAAAGCTTACTAGTGAAAGACTAAACCTGCCCCAGTTAAAGGCATAGCTGTTCATAATAGTAATGTAATAAACTAATAGCAAATAATACAGAAACAATGCCTTTTCTTACATCATTTACTTACTGAACTGGTTAATTGCAGATTTAGAACACTGTAACAGGGAGCAGAATTTGGCTCTTTTAAAATCCCAAATAGCATAATCTGATGTAATTCCATAAAAGTCAATTTCTACCTGCTGAGGACTAAGTCTATTATATTTTTAGAGCCCCTTTTATCCTTTTTTACAACTATTATATGAGGTACCTTTACACTTCTTTCTACCTATAGCAATACACAACAGGAATTAAGAGAAGGCAGAATATAATTCTGTGTCTACTACATCAGTGTAAATCCAGTATATGCCAACCACATCAGCTCAGCCTCATTTTTTTGGTAACACTAAGGCAAGAGTTATAATTTAATCCTCCCAGCAGAGACAGAGAAAAATAACTGGATATTTTAGAATAATCAGTGCTAAATACAGCAGCTGCCTGTTTGTATTTGAAAAGTCACATTGGCAGAGCATTTTTAGTGGCTGTAAAATGTTAGTAAGTTCTGACTTCATATCTTCTCTAGAGGATGAACCACTAACCGTACAGTGTTGTCACTGTCACCTGTAGGCACAGACCTGCTACCTGGTTTATGGCAAGGATGAAAATGCCCCCTACTGATTTACCAAATTCTGAGGTACTTACACTGGCCAGGCCAAACTTTGCTTAATGTTTTTTATTTCATCTCATGGGATTCCTGAGGCT